CTGAAAACTGATTTTCATAGATGTGTGCTAATTTCCTACAAAGATAATATTTGACTGGTGAGATGACTTTACTCTCCACTAAATTTTTCCAAAATAAGTATACAAAAACATCATTGCAAAGCAACTGATTCATAGAGAAGTTGAATCACATATTCAAACAAGTGCAGATGAGCTGAATTACTGAATTCTAGTAAATTCTAGAATTATTGAATATAGGGCTATGCTAGATTTTACTGATTTAAAAAAAAATCAAAGCTACCTCTGAACAAGTGGTTGATCAGAATTCTAGGCTAGATTGGAATGATGATTATGGCTGATTAGCTTTCCACAGAGGTTTCAAGACCACCAGCCCCTGATAATTCCTAGGGGCACCTTCTGATGAAGGTCAATCCCCATTCCTGTTAATTTAGCTTTCATCTCACCAGTGAATTCTCATTGTTTTCTGTCAAAATATTATGATATCAATATGATGTTTTGATATATTGTGAGGCTTCAGTATAGTAGAATAAAACTTTGGAGTTAGTGATATTCAAGTTATAAACTGATGCCACCTGATTACAATCAAGTTTATTGCTAAAGTAGAAATAAACATGTCCTCCCTTAGGGCTTGATTTGAAGGTAATTGAAAGTATTTGCAAAATACCTAGCATAGAGACTAGTACAAAGACTCCCAATAGATAAAAAAAGTATTTCTATTAAGACTGATTTAATCTCAAATTTGATTCAGTGCTTATTCAGAAACTGCTCATTACAACACATTCCAGTGATCCTTCAAACTTTGCTTACTAGAAAACTTTCAATTTTACATTTAAAATTTTAAGATGATTAATAGCTCATGAATATTTACTGAAAGAATTTATAATCTTTAAAATAAGCGAACTCAAGAAAATAACTTATGGAAATATTATATTTTAACAGTTTTCTATTTTTTTTCCTCTTTTTAAAATTTACTCTGAGTGTTAATCTAGTAATACGAATATGTGTGATAACACAAACAATATAACTAAATCATAAAAACAGTAGCCTAATTATTGAGGATTAAGAATATATTTAGATTCACTCTTGTGTGATTATATAAAATTCATTAGCTAATGATTAAACATGGCTGGTAAAAAATTAAATCATCTATAGATCTTTTAATCCATTTTCAAAGTATAGTGGAGTGTAAATGACAAAGATGGAGTATTTGCCTTTATAAAACTTATAACCCTAATATTTTGTAACAGACCTACTTCACTTCTTGAGGAAGTGACTTCTTTTGTAATATTTACTTAAGCAAGTTGTCTCAGGTCACTGACTGTTAAATAAATCTAGTTAAGTAAGAGTAATGCAGGTTAAAGATGTAAGGATTCCTTACCACACACTGCATTAACTTTCTTGCTCAATAATTCCCCTTGCTGAGAAGTTTCCGGTTCTCAGATGTAGCATGGTATAATAATCGATTATTTATATAACGTTTTTACTCTGGTGCATATAGCTTAGGAGCTTTAGATCTTATCCTTTCTGTTCCCAGTTTATGTAACAAAAATACTTTTATATTTCTCATAGAGGTTATAGGAAATGATATGAGTCTATGTATGTAAGACTTAAAAATAAAAAAAAAAAGAGCAGCATGATCTTAATATAATGTCAGTATAATAGTCACTTTTAGACTAATTGCAAATTAAGGATATATGCTAACTGATGATAGAATATGATCATCTTATTTATTTATTTATTTTAAATGTTTATTTTGGAGAGAGAAAGAGAAAGAGTGCAATCAGGGAAGGGGCAGAGAGAGGGAGACAGAGGATCTGAAGCGGGCTCTGCGCTGACAGCAGAGAGCCTGATGCAGGGTTTAAACTCCTGATTCCCCGTGAGATCCTGACCTAAGCCAAAGTGGAACACTCAACCAACTGAGCCACCCAGGTGCCCCAAGTATGATCATTTTAAATCACAAGTTTTACAGGTGCTTAGAGGCTTAGCGATTATTTAGTCCATTATGAAACCTAGGTTCAGAAAAATGTGGTGACTTGGACTAATCAGTTGGTGAGTGGGAATTAAAGACTGATGTCCCATCTTATATATCAGCTTAATTGTCATTACCTCATGCTTCCATTTAAAAGACTTAACTTTCTGACTATTTAAAAAATAATTTAATTACATAATAATACAGTCCCCTGGGAAATCTTTAGACTGTTGCAAATAAGGTTAAAGTCCAATTTGGTCCCCAGGCCAATTCCACAGCATCTTTCTTCAGAAGGGTGAGCAAATTTCATGTGGTGAATATATTATTTTGGATTAGGTTTAGTGAAAAATAATAGAAAAGGCCCCCAAACAGTATCTGAAACAAAATGTAAATTCAGTCTCATATTTCAGCAGTGGAGATATTACCCATCTAGGCTGACTGATGCTCCTGGGTGTCAGGGTCGCTGCTTCTTTCCTTGTTTCTCCATAATGGTGGCCTCCAATTTAAGTCAAGATAGCAGCTGGAGCAAGCAACAGTCATTATACTGCTCTCCAGCTACAGGAGAAAGTGTACCTTCCCTCCTCTAAGAAGTTTTATATAATTTTCATTTGGAATCCATTGTGCAAAAGTTAGCCATACAGACCTACCTAGCTTCAAGAGGAGCTAGGAAATGCAGTCTTTATTCCAGGAAGCTTCATGCCCAGCTAAAAGCTAGGGCTTAATTTTTATGGAAAAGGGAGGTCAGTGTTTGTTATAGTGAGTGCCCAGGGGCAGCAAGAATTCTACTTCTTACTATTTCTTTTTCCTGTCTGGCCTAGATGTCTGTTAAAAACCTCAGTCATTAACAAGAGAGCCAGGCCTGGCAGAATATCAGGAGTTCTTTTCTCATTAACAGATAGTACCTAAATACTGTTCTTCCAGCTTTTCATGTCTGATATACCTGGGAATAATTTTGATCTTCCTCGGCACTCTCATAAGCATCTGTTCCCAGGAACAATAACAACAATAGGAATAAAACAATAAGTGCAAAATATATAATAAATTGAACAACTCACCAAATGATATTATGTATGTTTTTATGATTATACAAGTATATACATAAACTATAGAAGATAAATTTAAAAGAAGCATGCAAAATGGATAATGATATGTTACCTTGGTTGTTGTGGGATTGAGGTTGGTAATCAAATTTGACTATAATTTATCTGTAATAATCCGAGGATTTACAACAAAATGAGGTGTGTTTGGGGTGGGAGGTGTGGGGAGACTTACTATGTGGAAACCTTTAGGACTCTAGAGTATCTTAATTGAATAGCTTATCTTAATTGGAATACAATGGCTGTCTAATTAAGATAGTTGGTTTTGGTTGCTCACAACCAAAACCTTATATCATTTATATAATTGATCAATGATATATATCAATGATTCTTATTTTTTTTTAACTTTATGTATTTATTTTTGAAAGAGAGACAGAGTGAGCAGGGGAGGGGCAGAGAGAGCCAGAGAGAGAGAACGTGAAGCAGGCTCCATGCTGTCAGCACAGAGCCTGATGCAGGGCTTGAATTCACAACCATGAGATTATGACCTGAGATGAAAATAAGAGGCAGACGCTTAACCGACTGAGTCACTCAGGTGCCCCAATAGAAACTAATTCTAATGAACTAAACAAAAAAATGAATTTATTGGAGGAGTACCGATACCTATTATCATGGATAGGAAGAAAAGGCTGAATGTAGTAGGAATGTAGTAGCTATGTAGTAGGAATTAAAAACAGACACTGTAACCCCAACTGATTTTTATTCTTGTGTCTCTCTGTTTATGGCATACAATCTCATGAGGTGAAATGGCATTGGTCAAGCTTGAGGCACAAGTGAAGAGGGAAGGGAGAGAGGGAGAGAGAGAATCTTAAGCAGGCTCCACTCAGCGTGGAGACTGACACAGGGCTTGATCTCATGACCATGAGATCTTGACCTGAGCCGAAATCAAGGGTCAGATGCTTAACCGACTGAGCCACCCAGGTGCCCTGATATCATCAATATTTAAAAAAAAAATTGTTCCAGGAATAGCCATTTCTTTCCTGAATTCTTCAAATTTATTTTGTCAAGACAAAATTGACATATAATATCAGTTTCAGATGTACAACATAATGATTCAATATATGTATATATGTGTATATAAATGATCACCCCAGTAAGTCTAGTTAACATCCATTGCCACACACAGTTATAAATTCTTTTTTTGTGTGGTGAAAACTTCTAAGATCTACTCTTATCAACTTCCAAATATACAGTATTATTAATTATAGTTAATATAGTTACACCGTGTTGTATATTACATCCCAGCTTACTCATTTTATTACTTCTCTTGAATTCTTTTTTTTAAAGATTTTATTTTTTTAAGTCATCTTTACACCCAATGTGGGGATTGAATTCACAATCCTGAGATAAAGAGACGTATGTTCCACTAACTGAGCCAGAGGCACCCCTGTTTCTTTTTATCTGACAAAGATAACTCAACTTAGTTTCCTTTTTTTTTTTTTTTTTTTTTTTTTTTTTTTTTTTTTTTTTTTTTTTTTTGCTTTGTTTATATCCTCATAGAGCTAAGATTAATGCTTTATCCCAGTAAGGGAATTGGATTAGGTTTCTAGTGTTCTAATTTTCTTATATTAAGTAAATAAATTATATGTAAATTGTAGGCAATCTAAAATTATTGTGGGTAGTGAGAGGTATAAATACATTGAATTTGAATGGTATGATAAAAAGAATAAAATGGGCATGTAAATGAAATTAACTTTCTGGCTTGAGTATTGATATAGACGTGTATATTATTTATGCACTTGATTCCAATTATTTGTAAAGATTCTATAACTGTATAAAATTATATCGAGGAATGTAGTAAATTATAATAATTGTGTACGATTTATAATGATTGTGTGTATAGTTTTTGTGTTATAAGGAATTGTCACTTGGAATAAAGTGCGGTTGTTGGTCCCTGAGTGCCTTTAATATATTTGTTTTCTAATATATTATAACTGAAGACCTGCATTTTGCAGGACATTAACAAGTGCTGGTAAAGACCTGCAAGATAATTTTCTGAAGGCTCTGGCAGTGAGAGAAGAAGACAATCACAATGGAAAAGTGAGTGTGAGTACCTACATCCTAAAAGTGTATACATTAAAGGCACAGTTGGTGTCAATAATATACATTTTAATATCTTCCCTGAGAAGTAATTCATGAGGGATATAATAAGGCTCTTTGTTTTATATATTATACAATTTATATAGAAAAAAAATTTATTCCCACTTACAACTGTGGAAGTACCCAAATGGTGAATAAAAAATAGAATCCCATACATCTATTGTAGAGAAAATGCACGACTCTTTGTGCTGGTCTTATGCTGAAAATTCCTGCTCTAGCTCAGCCTCCTGGTATGCTCTACCAAGTCACATCATCTACTGTCCCCCAAGTTTTGCCCTATGCCTACCTGATTTCATACTGCCTTCAGAAGATAGTCCTGTCGTCTGCCTTGTAGTCCTACATTTGGAGATGTGATACAAACCACATGATGGAGAAGCATAATTTTTAATCACCATGGATAATATATTATTACTATATTAAAATGTATGCTAGATAATATATGTAAAAGTGTTAATATTTTTGGAATACATATTTACTTTCACATTTTGTTAATATAATACTAGTAATATCAGTCTTCTGTAGGTCTTAAAACGTTCCAAGTCAAGGATGAAAAAAGGCAAATGTGACTTACAGAAAAATCCTCAGAAGTAGTGTGATGAAAAATTTATAGCAACAGAAAAATATGTGTATAAGGAGGTCTATTTTACTAAAGTTTTCTCAAAAAGTAGTTGGAATTTTTCTCACTGTCAGGGCCCTTGAAAATTTTACATGTGGACAAAATCCTCACTATACTTTAGAGAGAGAAAAGATCATATTTTGGTCAGCCAATTGAATAGAATTAACCTGGACTTGAAATTAGGGAGATTCTTGGAGGAGTTGGACAGGTGAAGTTTAAGAGGTGAAGTTGGAAATATGGATAAAGAGTAAACTCTGATAGGCCTTGTAAATTACAACAGAAAAGTTTGAAATTTACCTGACTCTAAATAGAAAGAGCAGCTAAAAAGATGGGAATAAAGGCAAAAGAATGTGATGGCACAGGAATCCATCATAAGGACTTACAAGAAGGAGCAAATGATCATTAGTGATCAAACAAGACAGGGATTAAAAAAACATCCATACAGATTAAAAAAAATATATATATATGTGTGTGTGTGTGTATATATATATATACATATATATGTATATATATAT